GATGAGAATAGCAATTCTATCTTTGTCGGAGTGTTTAAAAAATAAAGTGTGATCAGTCTGAGCTTGGGTGAACCCTCTCCCCTTAACAGCTTGAGTAAATTTCCCAAATCATTCTCTGGGAGATTGTTTAAGTCCATAGAGAGACTTCTGCAACTTGCACACAGAACCATTCCTTTTTTCAAAACCAGGAGGTGGATCCATGTAAACTTCCTCATGTAGATCACCATTCAAGAAGGCATTCTTAACATCTAACTGTTGCAATGGCCAATCAAGGTTGGCGGCAAAAGATAGCACAACGCGGATAGTGTTAAGCTTGGTAACAGGAGCAAATGTCTCCTGATAATCTATCCCATAAGTCTGAGTAAATCCCTTAGCAACTAATCTGGCCTTATACCTATTGATGCTATTGTCTGCATTAAATTTTATTGTGAACACCACTTGCAACCAACAGTTTTCTTTCCTTTAGATAATGTCACAAACTCTTATGTTCCATTTTTTATAAGTGCATCCATTTCTTCTAATACTGCATTCCTCCATTTTGGGTCATCAAGTGTTTCTTGGATATTTTTGGGTATCCTAGTACTGTCTAACATAGTGTTGAAAGCACGAAAACCTGGAGACAACTTGTCATATGAGATATAATGGGAAATAGGATGAGCAGTGCAAGATCTAGTACCTTTCCGAAGAGCAATAGGCATATCAATGATGGTTGTACTAGTGCATTCAAGTGGGTTGCTGGAGCAAGGACTCGAGTCAGGATCCTGGCAGTCTAGAGTATCTTGATGTGTTTTGCGTCTGCTGTAAAATTTTCCGCATTTACCAGGAGGATCACTAGTCTTAGGTATAGTTGCTCCCCATGTTTCCTACCCAATAACTCCCCCTGTTTCCAAAGGCCAGGGTACGACAGCAGCATCATTTGATTTCCCAGACTTATCTTCATCCATACCAATACCAATAGACTCCCCCTGAAGAGAAGTCGGGAAAAAAAAGGATTGTGTCTCACAAAAGGTAACATCCATGGAAACAAAGACCTTACGGACAGAAGGTGAGTAACATTTATAACCTTTCTGATTAGGGGAATATCCTATGAAGACACATCTAATAGATTTATGGTCAAGTTTGGACCTTTGATGTGGAGGAATATGCACAAAAACCACACAGCCAAATAATCTGGGAGGAAGAGAAGAAAGAGCATTGAAAGAGGGAAAAGATTTAGTAAGACAAGATAAAGGAGAATGAAAATTTAGTACCCGAGAAGGCGTCCGATTAATGAGATAAGAGGCTGTCAAGACGGCTTCCCCCCACAGATATTTAAATACATGCATCGTGAATAGGAGAGCTCGAGTAACTTCCATGAGATGTCTATTTTTCCTTTCAGCCACCCCATTTTGTTGAGGGGTGTTAGGACAAGAACTTTGATGAACAATTCCATGCTAGTTTAGGTAATCTCCAAGAACAAAATTAAAATATTCAGTACCATTGTCTGTTCGCAGAATTTTGATAGAGGTCTGGAATTGAGTTTGAATCATAGCATGAAATTTTTAAAAGTGGATGCCGCATCAGACTTATCTTTTAAGAGATATACCCAACATACCCTAGAATGATCATCAATGAAAGTAATAAACCAACGAGCACCCAAGACATTTTTTTCACGAACAGGTCCCCAAATATCACTATGAATCAATGTAAAGGGAGAAGATTCATGATATTTCTTAAGAGAATAAGTGACACGGGAATGCTTTGCAAACTGACAAATATCACAAAGAAAGGAACTTGGCCTTTTATTGATAAATAAGTTCGGGAATAACTTCAGAAGATAAACAAAATTTGGGTGTCATAACCTACGATGCCATAACAAAACATCATTACAGTCATCTGATAAACATAGAGAGTGGTTCGAAAAAATCCTCCTTTCACAAAGATCCTCTTTAAAATAGTAAAGCCCTTCTTCTTCTCTAGCACTTCCAATCATCATCCCCGAGTCCTGTTCCTGAAAGATACAAGCATTTGCAGAGAACTTAGCAACACAATGCAACTCCGTAGTAAGTTTGCTAATAGAGATGAGGTTACAAGTAAGGGAGGGAACATGAAGGACTGAGTTCAAAATAATATGCCCAGAAAGTTTAATGGATCTTTTTCCCGCAATAGTGGAGAAATTCCCATCAGCTGTTCTTATTCGTGACGGGTGATAGTAAGGGGTATAGGAGCAAAATAAGGTTGCATTACCTGTCATGTGATCAAAGGCCCCTGAATCAAGGATCCAACGATTACTACGTTCAACAAGGAATGCCATACCTTTTTGAGCAACATGACTAGTTGCCTCAGCAGGTTGAGACATCAATTTCTGAAATTGCTCATACTGGGCCTTAGAAAGGAAAACACCATCAGGGTTTGAAGGGACATGAGACCCCTCCCCCTTATCTTCGGAAGATACTTGATTAGCACGATTCTTGTTCTGTCCTTTTGGTTTCCAGTTTGGTGGTTTTCCATGAATTTCCCAACATTTTTCACGGGTGTGACCACCCTTATTGCAATGAGAACAACAACGGTCAGAACGTTTTGAGTCCCCAGAAGGACGAACAGTATTCTTTGCTACAAGGGAAGACCCATCAGAGGACTTAGAGTCCTTATCACCCAACATTACCTTTTGGCGAAGCTCCTCCCTTCGTACCTCAGAAAAGGCAGTAGCAAGGGAAGGTAATGGGTTTTGCCCCAAAATTCTTCCACGAACATCATCCAGATCAGAATTAAAGCCAGCAAGAAAATCATAGAGACGTCTTTTCTCTATATAATTTTTGAATCTTGCATTAGCTTCTAAACCTTAAAGGTCTGCTTTATCATCAAGATTCAACTCTTGCCACAGTGTTTTTAGAGCAAGGAAGTATTCAGTAACAATCATCCCTCCTTGACGTAATTCTTTCACCTTGGTGTTGAGTTCAAAAGCCTGAGAGGCATTGCCCAGGTCAGAGTAATATTCTTTAACAGCTTCCCAAATTTCTTGAGCTGTATCAAGAAATAAATAAGTTTGACTGATATCTGGTTCCATAGAATTAGTCAGCCATGTCATGACCAAAGCATTTCAGTCACCCAAGCATCATAGCCAGGTTCACGTTCTGCTGGTTTTACCTATTTTCAGTCAAGATACCCATGACACCATTGCACATAGTTCCTACCAATTAAACGGTGATTGGTGATCTGCATCGCTGGGTTGTCTCCAGAAGACAAAGAGTTGGGAAGGGGTGAGATTCCGGACAAAATTCCATACGAATTTTCAGAACTTTCAGCGTCCATGGCTTTCGAACAGGTACCCAGAAAAAAAGTTAAACTGAGGCAATTTTGACCCTCAAAACAGGAAGAGGGGAGGCAGACGATCAGAACGGCATAAGAATCGTTGGAAAAAAATGACGGGAGGGTCACACGCGCCGGCGAGGCTGAAGGTTGGTGGCGGCGCGTGATGGCGTTTTTAGTGACGGGTCTTTTGTGGGCTGGCTCTGAATTTTATTCTGAACCTAATGGTGGCCTTGGTCTCGTGGTTAGAGGTGTCTAGGTATGGATTCTGGCTTTGGCAGAGGCAAAACCGAAAAAAGGAATAGGAAAAAGACTTCAAAAGGAAATTCAGAACAAGGGAGACTGGAATATAACCAGCTCTGATACCATGTAAAGAACCAATTCAATCCAAAAGCTTAAGCTGTTGGGTGAGGTTATATTAATGATTTTATATATCTCAACATGCCCTCTCATACGAGAGCCCACTGGGCTTGAAGGGTGGACAATGCACAGGCCCACCTATCTATGCGAAGAAAGAAATTCCACTTCAAAGAAAGTGGGAGGCGGTGAGGATCGAACCCGGTACACTGAGGCTCTAATACCATGAAGAAATGAAGAAGTGTTTTCTCTGAATAACTCAATTTCTTAATTCATTGAGACCCAATAGGTCCTTTTTATATTGAGTACAATGAGCTACACTAATAAATAGCAACAGTAAACTAAGAGACTTATTTACAATAACAAGAAACACTGATAAATAAGGGAACAGATAGCAAAAAAAGCAATAAATGATAAATCACAATCTAGAATATTCTACACATTTCTAATATGCCCTCTTATACAAGAGCCTTTTGGACTTGAAGCATGGACAATGCATAGGTCCTCCAAAATTGTGTTGAAATTTAACATTTTATTAGAAGGATGGTAGTGGCGTTGATCAAACTCTAGACCCCCAGGCCATAGAGGCTTTTATACCATATCATGAATCAATTATCCCAAAAGTTTAAATTTTAAAATGAATGAAGATCATTGCTGATTCTAGTAAAATATCAAATTCAATTAGGAGTAATTGTGAATTGATTTAGGAATTATTGTAACATATAACTTTTTAGGATCCCAGTTCTTTCCTTATTTAGCTAAGCTGTTTATTTTCTGTAATGAGTATAATATACATAGATCCTATCCTGATTTTGGGTACCAGGTTTGGGTCCTAAAATCATGGGTAAATATCCTCAAGACTTGTATGTGTTGTAGCTTCCTATTGCAATGGAAATCATAAAATTCCATCCTTTGATCCTTTAGGAGTAATTGTGAATTGATTTAGGAATTATTGTAACATATAACTTTTTAGGATCCCAGTTCTTTCCTTATTTAGCTAAGCTGTTTATTTTCTGTAATGAGTATAATATACATAGATCCTATCCTGATTTTGGGTACCAGGTTTGGGTCCTAAAATCATGGGTAAATATCCTCAAGACTTGTATGTGTTGTAGCTTCCTATTGCAATGGAAATCATAAAATTCCATCCTTTGATCCTTTAGTGAAGATAAATGCATAGTTTTATATTACATTTTTAACAAAGATGATGATTACACATCCCTTAACATAATCTTTTGGCTCCATGATAAAAAAATATTCCCCAAGAGCTGATTTAATAATAATAATGGCTTTGCAACTTGCAAGCTTGATGAATAAGCCAGTTTATAAACTGAAGGTATGTTTCTGAGTCTAACCTCAAGTTCAGTAGAAGTGAGTGCCCATTACAATGTAGATGGCTTTCCCAAGAAGAGGATTCTGACTGAACGACAATAATCATGTCAGACAGCGCCTTTGCCTGAAAATGTTTGTCCAGCAATAGTGGTTCACTGTAAATGAACCAAAAGACTGGAACCTCTAGCATGGACCTAGAATGTGCATGCCTACCTGCATTATTCACAAAGATTATTATCTTAGTAAATTCCAAAAATTTCAAGCAACAAAAGTGGAAACTTCTTCTCAAAACACACGGAAAAAGAACTCAAGTCATCAAACTATATTCCACAACAATTGGCAGTTCCAACATTCTAAATGGGGGAAATCCTTGTTAATCGTTAACACTGCACACCTATACAATATGCTATGTATGTTGTTATGCCCCAAACACTAGAAATCAATCCCCAATAAATGTTCAACAGTAGCTGCACAAACTCCCAATTCATTAGAAATATCCCACATTACACACTTTGGGTCACTTGGCAATGCAAACACAAGTGAACTTGAATCTCCATGCGATAAAGACAGAGAGAAAAAATATCTTAAGAAAGAATTTTAAATGGTCACTTGACAATGCAAACAACCACTCCCAATTAAACACCAACTAGCGAGGGTAGTGATGAGGGCAATTCTTGTACGCAACCTTATCCTTGCATATTTGCAAAAGGGTTTTAGGTCACGGGTTCGAATGACCCTACATTCATCACCAATAAGGCCTTCTCGCTCCATTATGCCACACTTCCTTTTCAGCAACTAGGGGCATAACGCCAAGCATCATCTAGACTGTGTACAAAGCTAACCCTAACATCATCTGCAATTCTCTAATCCAATAATGTAACGGAATGCTTGTTGATCATTAGTCTTATTCAGCTCTTGTGGGTAATCATGTGGTGGAGGACATTAAAAGAGCAAGGGGGAAACTTTCATAAAGCTTATGGCTGTGTCAATTGGGGTTTCCTTGATAAGGTTCTTGATAGGATTGCATGTTGTCTCTCCATATCTACCTACTTAGTTATTGTTAACGGGGAATCTATGGCTTGGTTTTTAGGACAGAAAAGGGTTACGCAGGGAGACCCTCTTTCTCCTTTTCGGTTTAGTCTTGTTGTTGATGCTTTGAGTATGGTGTTTTTTAGAGCTATGGAAAGTGGAGTTTTTAAAGGTATCTCTATTGGAACCATTGTTGTTAAAACGTCGTTCCAACACGTAGAAACGTCCGTTTCTACATTTTTTGGTCAAAAAATGTGTCTGAATGATGGTTGAAACGGAATTTGGGTTGAAATGGTTGAAACGCCTAGTTGACTCGGTAAAGTAGGTTGACTCAGTACTGGAGAAAAAATGTGAGATTCGCATCGGAGAGAATTGTGATTTCACGAATTCTCAAATCAGAATCGAGAAACGAAAAGTGGATTGAGAATTCACTTTGGCGAGATCATCGCGGAGAGAAAGGAGAGAGAGTGAGAGAGTTACTGACTCTATAAAGAGGAGAGTCGAAGGAATGCTTGGAGATTTGATCTTGCAATTGGTTCCAAAGAGCAGAAGCAACTGTTCTGAATAGGAAGAAACACTACCCAGTACCTACTCGCCATTGTGTTCTTCTTACTTTGTTACTGCTTCTCACTTCTCAGTTCTGATCGCACGCCAAGATACATTGGAAGCTAAGCAAATGCTGAATGCCAATGTTGGCACACAAAATCATCAATTATCAAAAATCCTTTTTCACTTTTTTTTTTTTTTAACCAATCAATTTCTTTCTTCTTTAAAGCGTGAGTATATTATAAGGCTTTTCTACATGGATAAATTTTTTTTTTAAAAAAAAAAATCTCAAGATACTTATGTTTGGATTTTTTTTTTCTTTCAGAATATTATTTTGTTATATATATATATATATATATATATATATATATATATATATATGAAATGCTATATATACCTTTTAGTCTTAGTTTCCTCCAAATTGACTTTTAAATGTGTATAAAAATTGGTCCTGTGCAATATCCACACTTAGCTCAAAGGGCTCTTGTGTGAGGGGGTGTGTTAGAGAATAATATAAACCATTAAAAAGTTCCTCACCTAATACCTTAAGATTTTGGGTTGAAGTGGTTCTTTACATGGTATCAGAGCCTCGGTGTTCCGGGTTCGATCCTCGCCGCACCCCATTTTCTTTGTGATTTTTCTTAGCACAGGTAAACTGAGCCTGATGCATCATCCACCTTTCAAAATCTCGTGTCCCGAGTTCGATCTTCACTGCCCCCCACTTTCTTTCTATTAGAATTTCTTTCTAGCACAGGTAGGTGGGCCTGTGCATTGTCCACACTTCAAGCTCAATGAGCTTTCTTGTGAGAGGGCGTGTTAGACATATATAAAACCATTATTGTAGCCTTACCCAATAGCTTAAGCTTTTAAGTAAAAGTCTTTTTAATGGTTTATACTATTCTCTAACACGCCCCCTCCCACGAGAGCCCACTGGGCTTGAAGGGTGGACAATGCACAGACCCACCTACCTGTGCTAAGAAACTCCACAAGACAATTATTTATTAATTAAATAGGGGGCGGTAAGGATCGAACTCGTGCACCGAGGCTTTGATACCATGTAAAGAACCAATTCAACTCAAAAGCTTAAGCTATTGGGTGAGGCTACAATAATATTTTTATATATCTCTAACATGTATATTGTTACAGATGTACATTACTAAACTTTACTACATATTATGAGTGATTAAGTATTGTAACTATAAAATATGTATTGGTGTGTTTTGGTTTTATATATGTTGGATACATTTTTTTTTTGTACGTAGTAAACTCTTACGTTGGCTTACGTTTTATGATTTAATGTTTCTGCTCACCTCTACCGTTTTTACATAATGATGCAAGCTTCAACGATGCTATCCTTCAAATCTTCAAGGATAGATCTGGGCTGAAAGTTAAACTGAGTAAAAGCAATATGACAGGCATTAATGTGTCAAATTATGAGTATGGTTCCCTCGCTTCTGTGACTGGGTGTTAAATCCTTCAATGGGCCACTGATTCTTGTAAGCATTTGGATATTTGGAAGGGAGCTTACTTCTCTTTAAGTGGTCGAATTATGCTTATTCAATCATGTTTGGATAGCATTCCCCTTTACTATCTTTCCGAGTTTTGAATCTCTGTTACAGTGGCACATAGTTTTGAGATAATTATGCCGGTTTTAATCTAGTTTGGTGGTAGCCAGCTGAGGAAGGATCATTTAGTAGGTTGAAAAACTTCTTGTAGGCCTAGATGTGAAGGAGGTATGGGTTTGGGTAAGTTGGTGGTGAAAATATGCCTTTGGCGGGCATACGTCAAAGGTGTTTATCTTAGGAGCCTTATACCGTTTGGCATCAGGTTATTAGTAACAAGTATGGTTTGAATCAGAATACGTGGGATGCTAATCTGGTGCTCACTGCTACCCATGGAAGCCCCTTGAAAATTTATCTCTCATTGCTATGCTTGTTTCTGTCCATTTGTCTCCCTAAATTTGGGTAATGGCTCTCAAATTAGATTTTGGAAAGATATTGGGTGGGTGGCGTATCTTTCATGGAGTTGTTTCCCCGCCTATATAACCTTTCTTCTTTACACAACGCAGCAATCCATCTTTTCTGTTCTTTACAGGATGACTCAACTTACAATCTCTCTTTCTTCTCCTAGAAAATGTCAATCTTTTATCTATTCTTGATAGGAAAATTTGGACTCTTGACCTTCCTAGTCGTTACTCTTGTAAGTTGTTCTATCATTCATTAACTCATTCTCCTAATAGACAAAGCTCGTCCTTGATAAATTTATTTGGAAATCCAAAGCTCCTACTAAGGTGCAGTCTTTTTGTCCAGACTGTAGCACTAAATAGGATCAATGCTAATGATTTGTTACAGATTTGGTTACCTAAAACAGCCAACTTCCCTAATATTTGTGTTATGTCCATCAGCCATGAAGAACTTTGAATCAGTTCTATTGAATAAATTTTCATACAAATCTCTCATTACTCAATAGGAAAGAATATCTTACATAGTGCGACATTCATGAGCTGATATATGTAGGGCAGAGCTTCCAGGATCCCGCCAAAATTTTGAAAAACCAAAGAGATATATGGAAAGATATTACCGAAACCCCAAATAGGATGTGAAAATTGTACAATCATCAAGATGTGTTTGTTTTTGTACAAAGGATATTTCTGAATTGTTTGAGAGATAACACTCAACACCCTTGGTATTTATATATAGAAAATAATGCAGTTTACATTTACCACAACAATAATAAAGAATTGAACTATTTCCTATGCCTCTAATCTTTCCAATGAGAGATTAATTTCCTTAATTTCCAATGCAACGATTCATAATAACATATTAATAAGGGTCAAAGATTGTAAGATAAAAATTCCATCAAATTTGCTTGGAACAAGAATGTGGGACAGATGAACATAGAATAAGCAGAATAGACACAAATCAATGGACAAAATACTATTTTTCTTTTAATTTTTCCCTTATGTTTTTCTTTTAAATTCAAGAGGATTGCCCAACCTATTCTTTTTCCATGACAAAACATATTGCATTTTAAAAAGAGGATTTTGAGGATATAAAAGGGACCTTTAAGCAAACCATGCTTATTCAGCCTTTGCAACTGATACTGAAGAATGGAAGAATCAAGATAGGTACGAATTGTCTTTCGATAGGTTCCATTGACAAGCAATAAAGGGACAGCAGCTGTGCGTCGTGCAACGGAGAAGGCCATTGCTAAAGCAGGATCCTCTGACAGAGGTAACCTAAAAAACCAGAGTTATATCAGTAGAAAACAAGGAAAAATGCACATTTTAAAGGAACAAGATAAGCCTGGCACATATTGATGTGCCTAAAAAAAATTTCACTGATCAAATGTCCAATTATTGGTTGGCAAAGGAAAGAATAGTATGACTGCATACAAGTGCGGACTGAACATTGGTTTCTGAGAAGGAGCCATCAATGAGGAAAGTCCTTCCATTATAGCCTTCATATCCACAGGAAGCTGTTTAATGTGCCTAACTTTCTGCAAAAATGAATGCAAAGGCAAAATAAATATTCCACTATTGCAAGACTTTTCAAATGATTGAACATACAGCTTACTTCCTGTGTCATAAAAAACAACTGAAAGGATATCTTCTCATAATAATGGAAGGCACCATCAGCAAGTGAAGGTGATACGACATGTCTCATAGAACCCCAGAGTGTTGCACCTAGATGTGCAAGAAAAGAATCACGAGCAACCGTGTAATTCTGGAACTCCTGGAAAGGGCAAAGGCATGAATGAAGCTGATATTGATGTCTAATCAGAATTTAAAACTACAAAAAAATAAAAAATGGGGGGTTACAATTCATTAGAAAAATCCACTAAATTAACAGAGACAGACCAATCAGCTGACCTCATATGTGTCACTGAATAAATTCCAGCTCTCCATCCGCTTTAATGCCTCTATGGCCTTTTTCTTATGACTTTCATCATATACTTCGCCTTCAAACAACTGGAGCTCATTTTTCAAATCCCGCATCCTCTCATCAAGTTCTGCAATTATCACATGTTAAGTGTATGAATAACTACAGTAAACATCATGTGGAATTTTAACATATTGAAGAACTGAGCTGCGGAATCTGCAAGGTTTGATAGTTAAAACAAATAAATAAAACAAAAGGAACTCTATTTAAAATAATAGAAAGAAACAGATTTCTGAGAATATCTCTTACGAAACACAAATGGGTTGAGTTTACACAGAGAGAGATGAGAAAAATATAGAGGAAAGGAAGAATACTTTGGTAGAGTTTATTTTTGAATTACAAACTAGGAACTTGAGGAGAGAATTCTCCTTCCAGGGGTTTTCCCTTCACCAAGAGTTTCCTCTTTCACAACCTTTGTTCAGTTCTCAAATCTAAATTTCCGAATGCCTCTCTCCTACCTTGCTCCTGCTATTTAAGCCTGAACCTCTATGCCTATCTACCTATCTCTTTGGTAGATCCTAACTGTAACTAAGCAAACAGTTATCTGACTAACTCTGCGCCTGTTCTAATTTATCCTTCTGGGTCCTATCCTATAAATACCATTCCCCTTGAAGTTCAATCTTGTCCCGAAGGATGGAATTGGAAAACTGCATGCTGATTTTCTCTCTCCTGATCTTTTACCTGCATGATTTCTCCTTGTGTTTGGATTTGTATTTATGCCTTAAACATATCTATAAGATTGGTGTGTTTATATTATTCTTCATATTAATTTTATATGTAGTACTCTATCCCCCGTTATCTCCTATAATTTTCAAAATTTGTTGGATGGGTGTGAAGGTGATGCATCATATCCGTGGCCTGGGTTGTATCCATTATTTTCTAGCTCATATGTCAACGTGAAAAAAGGCTGTGCAACAAGCTTAGCTATCCTGATAGGAAAGCAAGATTGAACGGGAAATGCAATGATTTTTTTATTTTTATATTATTTATTTATTTATTACTAAAATAAAAAAGGCATTAGACGAAGTTCAAGTTCAATTCAGGAAACAAAGCCCAAAAGCTACAAAAATAAGATTACCTTCGCAAAGAGCAAGCTTGACTTTCCTTCCCTTGCAATGTTTAAAAGCAAAAAGCTCATATATATCAATCTCAGCTAGAAGAATATCAATAGCCTGATGGTCTTTCTGCAACATTGAAAATCACAATTGACCCACCTTGAAACTCTAACAGAAAAATGAGTGGGTGAAGGAGGGAAATTTCTTAAAAATGATGGATGCCTACATTCCTCTCAACACTGCATAAAATGTTGTCAACTTCAGAATAAACATGGTATATATTATATAATGAGCCACAATTTATTTTTACTCTTTTTCCTTTCGGTATTGACAGTGCAAGGGGAAGGATTCTAACAAGAGTTTACTATTCACTACAACTCTTTGAAACCTTGTTATTAGAAGCACAGCCACAAAATGGAATATGGGATATGCAACCCATTGTTAGATCCAACATATGACACGTACATCACCAAATACAGCAAATTTCTCCTGTATAGCATCTTGCAATCGGTCTTCGGCTTCTTCTTCTGAAATTTCTGCAATCAGTGAGGAGAAAATGATCGAACAGCAATAAATAAACTATGACATCACGAGTTAATCCATGCAAGATGAATTGAATAGATAAGATTCAATTCTACAAGCCAACAGAAGCATTTTCTGGGCCCATATTAATTAATTGAAGAACTAAATCAGTTCATTAAGACACTGCAACAATCATCAGATTACTCAATATAACAGAAAAATACTATCTCAAAGAGGTCGCCTACAATTTTCTTTTTCTCTGGCGCATAAGTGTAGTTAGAATATATTAAAAATATCTTATAATATCTTGATTGTATCTTATAATAGTTTAGAGTATTTTATATAATTCCTTAGTAATAGTTTCCTTATTTATTCATATTTCATGATTTATTTCCTTATTAGATTTATATCTGGAGTCTAATATTAGTATAAATATGGATTAGTGCTTTTGTAGCTTGTATCATATCAAATCAATATCATATTATTCAGTCTCTATTCTCTCTTTTTCTTCATTCCTTATCTAAATCCTTTTAATTCCAACATTATACATATTTCAGATTGCAACATTTGTATTCTAGATCCTCTTATACATTTTCGTTTATATACGTGGGTTGCAAGTTGCAATCCTTGGCACTTCACTAACTGATTTTCAGACAGATCATTACTACCTGAAGCTGAACCAATTGTCTTTTCCACATTCGGTAAACTTGCCTCTGTACGCACACCTTCTCCACCAACAGCAGGTCCCCATGAAAAAGGACCTGCACTTAAATCAATAAAAGCCCATCTGGTACAAAACATGAATAATGTAAACAGAAAGAAAGAATTGTGTATGCCTTAAAATTTAGCATTGCGTGAAGCAAGAGAAATTTAACCTGTCTTTTCCAATCCATGTGTCCGTCAGACACTCTGCTTGAAAACCATTATAATCTCCAGATTTTAATAATCTTTCCAAAAGCAGTTTCAGGTCTTGATCCTTCCCTTTCAGTAACTTGAAATACAGGGAAAATTACAAATTTTCATTAAAGAAATGTAGGGTAAAAATTCCAGTAATTAACACCTTTTCTTTTATCTGGAGACTTATCTGATGTGTATATACCTGTAAAGCTTTGACCTCAATAACCTCAGCTGTGTCTCTTCCTTGATACAACCTCCCAAAATTATCTAGCGCATCAAGCCAAATATTATACCATTCCACCTGCATTTTATAGTTTTACCAAAGCTCCAAGCATTTCATAAAAATTTACAATGCCTCCATCATGAAATCCACAAGAGGCAACAAGACCAAAAGCATAAATGAATGCTGCACATTTCTTTTGGATTCTACAAAGACTTGTCATTTTGTTTGTCAAATAGAAAAATAAATACATTCTTAGAGATAACTGAGGGGGAGTATTAGCTGTTGAAGGATAAGCTACCATCCAAACTAGATAAACTAAAAAAAAGAGGAGAATCGAGAATCCCTGTGCATATTAGAAAAGCAAACTGATAAGAACCTTGAGGTGCACCACCCCAAAAACTAGCTCAAAGGGTGGGAGTGCCCAATGCCTTATAAACCCCACATTAGTTTCCCATACAACCAATGTGGGACTCCAAGTCCCATACCTTGCAAATGGGATCGTAACATTCCACCACGCTCCACAGCCCCAGAGCCCACGCGGGCTGGCTTTGCGCTAGTCTTTTACTAGCCCCGGGCGAACACTGCAATGCCGACATCACCACCCGCGCCGCTCGATTGCAACCGAGAGGCATAATGGAAGGCTCTGATACTATTTGATAAGAACCTTGAGGTGCACTACCCCAAAAACTAGCTCAAAGGGTGGGAGTGCCCAATGCCTTATAAACCCCACATTAGTTGCCCATACAACCAATGTGGGACTCCAAGTCCCATACCTTGCAAATGGGATCGTAACAGAAACTCCCTTGATATAGCCATGAACAGAGCACTAAGGAGAAACGAGAAGCACAATCCTAAAGTTCACACAAATTCATTATACATTCACTGCAAATAGATTTGTCAATTCCTAAAGTTCAGGGATATGATTCTATAATTTGTTAATATAAATCCATGGGCTGAGGGGGTTTCGCTCATGCAAATTCACACAAATGAGTTTCAGATTCAAGTTGGTAACAGTTGTTGGGATGTTGAGACTGCAAACCCTAGAGTCACTCTTCCCCAGCTGTCATCAAGGTTGGATCTGTGATCCAACGTCCAAGCACCCTTGACCATGAATGTGAGGGAGTGCGATGTCAAAGAACTCATCAATCAGTCATCCTTGTGAGTGCAGTGCCAAGGACACCGTCATGAGCCTCCATGTGCAGTAGTAGCTGTAAGAGCTTGTAAGCCATACACCAACTTTCTGCCATCAAATCTGTAGCCGTTGGTCCTCTCCAACTCATCAATTCCTCCTTGTTATGTTCAAGAGGTCAGAAGTCCAGAAAACCTATTCAAGAAGCCAGAATCGCACAAAATAGCAATGCTATACCATCAAGCGGTTACTATCCCCGATTCACACCACAACCCGTCCATTTTTTGGCCAAATCCTGGTAACCCCAAGCTCAACCCAATTTTGCCCAATCCATCCCTTTTCCAGCCAAGCTTACCCTTTTGCATCTTCCTCTGCTCTGCACAACAACTTTCTGTCTGTCTTCCTATCTTATTTTTTCCTTTTCTTTTCCTGTTATCTTTTTATCTTCTATACAAATCATCCTTCTGTCTTTCATTTTTTTTTCTTTACTCTTTTGGTGTCTTTTTGTGCTTTTACATTGTCAGTCTATATTCTAACACAAGAGATAAACTCATAGTTTATCATGTTTTTAAGGATTAAAATAACTCTTATATCTAGTCAAAAGCATGAAAACTTAAGTTATTTGACTAAAAAGCATGGAGTTTGAATTATTGATTTATGTGAATGATTTTTGCTTGTTTTGTAGGACAATTGAGTTGAATTGGAGCAATGGTTAAGCTAGAAGGACTTAAAGCGATAAATGAGGAGCATGATTTAGTGAAAATCTCCTTGAAGCTGTCTTCCGACCAATTTTTCGTATACAAGATGATGGATTTCGATCTTGTGTTCTTCATAGAAGTTGTAGATATCTCTTTTATCTTTCCAACGAGACCAAGATCACATTAATCGGACATGTAAAACACAATTTACACCAAAAATACGAAACCATGTTTTTGTTGTCAAAATAGCGCGTTTTAAAGCCCAGTTGCGATCCAATTAAGGCCCATTATGTGGTTTTCATCTAAAACAAGGATTCCTACACATATTTAAGCTATTTTTCTGAGGAAACAAACAACACTTGATTGCTGAAGTTTAGTTTTGATCATAGAAACACATTGTTCATGCTTTGGAGAGCCGCAGACAGGTTAGAATCAAGATTACGTTGGAAGACTTGAAGATTCGCCGCGCCATCATACCAATGGAATTTGGGGAAGCGTTTTTGTTTTCTTGATTCCACCATGTTAGGCTAGATGGAAACCAATTGAAGCTTTATGTTTATGAATTGATCTTTAATGTAACTTTCCCTTTTGTTTTGAATGAATTTATCTTCTCTTAATGCTTTCTATGAGTTTGATCTTGTAGAATGATTTAGGATGATTGTACGACAATAGAGATGTTGGTACATGAACCATGCATGATAAATTCATCATAATCCTTATGATTCTAGGGATACTCAGAGGGTTTTATGCATTCATGTGTTTAATACTTATTTTCTTGAGGAATAGACGGGGAACTAGAATTCTTTCAAGATAATAAAGAATTAGGATGTCAAAGGATTGAGTTCTAATTAACTTAGGGAAACGGAAATCGATTGGCAACAAAAAAAGGCCGATTAATTAAGGGTTTTAATTCAGAACATAAAGGGGAGATTGGGGGAAATCGAACCCCTAACTACATTTCTTGAAGTTACTCATATTTTGCGTTCTTGTTTTGTTATTTAATTTAGTCATCATTAAATTCTCTTGATCAATTGCCCAACTTAAGTGTAAATAGTGAATTAGTGGTTGAAAAATAATCCTCGTGAACAATCTCGTACTCAGTACACTTTATTACTTTTACGACCGGTGCACTTGCCGAAGTCGCAACGACAAGTACATGCACACCAACTTTTATTTTGTCTGTCTATCTTCTTTTTTCAGTTTATTATTTATTATTTTTCAATCTAAAATACTTACAGAACTTATTTTATGAAAAGACATTGCCATCTTTTTTTTTTCTTTGGGGAGGGGGGAGGAAGAAAGTTTCTTTACACCTACAACCTCTATTTTGCAGTTCCAAAAAAGAGGAGGGGTAACACGGCTTTTGTTAACTGGTGCAATTTAAGTATGTCCTATGCGAGACATCTTTTATAAAATTAAATATTTGTTATGGCATAATAGAGGCTTAATGTGATTCCAAGCAATGATGATTGTGTCTTTGAGATATGACTTTTGTGTGTGAATGTTCAATATGTCTTAATTTTTTAGTACTTTGAGTTTAAGCATCTATTTTGTATATACTAAATTGTTTGCAATTTGCATAGTATTCACTATGTTTGTTATTGCACCGCTCTGTGACCTGCTATACCATTAGTGCTTCTAGAGTTGGCCGCTCCGCGCCACTCTAGGTTTGACTACTATGATTTAGAAGTCAACTTAACACACAGAAAAAGTGATGTCTATTCAAGTAACTACCAGGTAATTAGGCTTGTCAACAAGCTGTAGATATCTACTATGATTGACAAAAACTCATCCTAACTCAATTGAAGTTTATGTTGGTATGCATTGGAGTATTACTACGTTGACAATTGAGCACGCCTGTTCCTATGTCTAATGCATACATATGACAATGTCATCCATATAAACTACTAGTTAGCTGCATATGTTAGGCAGATAGTGATAGAAGAGGTCAGAGTGGTCAGCCTCACTGAGTCATGTCAAGCTTCTGCAGAAGAAAAAGATTGATGTAGTAGTTGACATACAAAGCCAGTCCCCTCAAGCAATAAAACCTGGTGATTGCTGCATCTAATTCCCCATGCAAGCAAGAAATCAAGTTTATGCCAAGTTGATAAAGAAGCCAATGATGAATAGTATCCTGGATTCAAAGGGGAGAATAGAAACAATCTTGAACATAGGGGAAGGCATCTTTAGCAATCAGGGGATCAGATGATCACTTGGAAATTCCAATGCATAATGCAATTGGAAATTCTGATGCGGGATGTAGCGCAATAGAGTAGGTGATGAGTCATTTGGGAGGACTAATATCTAGTTTTGTAAGTAAGAGAGTCCAATGGCATACGAGGTGAGTCATTGGCAGGACTAATTGTAGAAAATCAGAATTCAAATTTAAATATTTTTCCGTTTTTATTTATTAGGAATAATTAAGATTAATTAGGATTGATTGTTTTTTATTTCCTATTAGTTAGGATTAATTGTAATTAATTAGAATTAATTGTGATTAGGTTTAGTGAGTCATAGCTGAGTCATTCTTATGATTGTGATTAGGTTTGGTGAGTCATAGCTGAGTTATACTGAGCTATTTTTTCTTGTATAAATACTCCTCATTCCTCATGTAATTTTTTCAATATCGATATACTGAAAACATTTTTCAATATGGTATCAGAGCCAGGTTGGTCCTGAGAAAACTCAGCCACCACAACCACCTTCAAACCGGCGGCACAACGCCGGAAAACTCAACCTCCAACCATTATTAAGGTTATTTTCCCTTCCTACAAAGTCCCAAGAGCAAAGTAAGGCTACCAATCACTGTAGAAGGCAAAATCCCAGCTTTCCACCGCCGTCAGCCACGATCGGAAAATTTTTCCGGCAACATTTCCGACCAAGATCCTCACCATTCGAAACAGAAGGAGCCGATCTACAAGTTTCAAGAAGGACCATCGGATTCTGCTGAGCCACGCGCCCCCACGCGCTAGAGCAAGGACGGAGCGTCCGCCCTACGCGTTACCACACGCAGCCATGTTGATTGAAAGTAAATTTCCATCCAGCAATGTTGCTCAACAAGGTATAGCGTTCCATGTTGATAATAGTAGTCGTTGGATTCTTGATTCAGGGGCTTCAGATCATATGACAGGTAATGCAACCTTATTTTGTTCTTATACCCCTTACTATCAACAATCACGAATAAGAACAGCAGATGGCAGCTTCTCTACTATTGCTGGAAAAGGATCCATTAAACTTTCTGAACACATTAC